CAACTACTCAGTCGCTCTGGGTAGCTGGCTGTGACCAAGCAATGACCATAACCTTGCCCCTTGTCAGCTGTACTATACACCTGGGAATTCTGATCACTCACATAAACTTATAGGACCATTGAAGAGCCAGAGAATTCTTAAGTGAAGTCTTGTTCTTTATTTCTTTAAAACAATAATCTCTTTTCTAGTGCCTGTTTGGATGCCAGGGCTATAGGAACAGGCATTATTGTAAGAGATACTGATAACAAATAACAGAAGAAGACAGATAAAAAGTTTTCTGGAGGGGAATAGCAGAGGGCACTAAAGGTGTTCCTCCTTACACCCTGCATAGGGGAGACATGGCTGTGTTTATAGGTGGGAGGAAAAACTGAACACATGAGAGGGACTAGGAACTTTAATGGGTGCAGGTTTGCATGGAGAAAAGGTAACATCTTTTGACTGATACTGAAGAAAGGCAAGGCAATATTTATAGAGAAATATTTTGAAGTTGAAAGAAGAATACAAAAGTAGGGTCTAACATGGCTTCAATTTCAGAAAAATGTTTTAAGGCAGTTCTTTGTTTCATTTATTCATACCTGACAAAAATATCTCCACCAAACAAAACTCAGAAAATACAAATTGGTACATAGAAAAATAAATAAAAAGCCATCCATAGTCCCCCCCCAGCTCAACATTACAATGCTTTAGAGCTGAAGTTTGTTATAGTACCAGCTACATGGGATTGTGAGCACTTTAAATGTGGCTGGTACACCTGAGGAACTGAATTTTCTTAGTTTAAATTTTAATAGCCCCATGTACAGTACAGCTGTCGAGCATTTCCATCATCAGAGAAAGTTCCATTGGACAGTGCTGCTCTGGAGTACTTCTTCCTTTGCTGCTTCCCTGTGCTTTGAAGGTTGCTTGTTTTAATGTGGTTGTTATGATGATGGATGTAGTCTTTCCTGCCCTGCTTTCCCACTTAACAGTGTATCATAAGCATTTTCTCATGTTGTTACAGATTTTCCACAGATATTTTTAATGATGCTACTTGTGTTAAGTGGCCATCTCTGCATATTCAGTATCAGCCTGTGGGAAGCCCTAGGCTTTCTGTAGCCTCCCTCTAAAATTCCTCCTGGACTCCTGCAGTTGTATCAGACTTAAATTTATACTATTTATATCATTACTGAACCATTCTACTCCCTTTCCATTCCCACCAACTTCTCTTAGCTGGGTTTAGGTTTGCAGAATATCATCTAGCCAGTGAGGGGGAGGGGTTGGTATTTCCTACCAGGCGTGGCCTTGGGCTTTCATGGCCCTGGGTGACCACATTGTGCCAGACTGTAAGTAGGCTTTCAGGATATACTTGTGGAGGATGGAAGACTGAGTGCTCTAGGGAGGTGGGTGAGCCCCTGAGATGGCTCTGTTCTTGCCCTCTATCCCTTCCAGCATCACCCCTGGGTCTGACATCCCCACCTCTGCCATCCAGGTGTATCCACTGTGGTGTTGTCCATCTGACCTTGGCCTTGCTGAAAAGCCACATCCAGGAGCGGCACTGCCAGGTTTTCCACAAATGTGCATTCTGCCCTATGGCCTTCAAGACTGCCAGCAGCACTGCGGACCACAGCACCTCCCAGCATCCCACCCAGCCCCACAAACCCTCCCAGTGAGTGCAGTTCCACAGCCAGCTGCCCCACTGGAGTGAGAGGAGGGGCCTGGGTGCTGGTGGGGATGGTGTAAGGGTGGGTCAGGGAACTGGGGCAAGGGGAAAAAATGCCTGGAATCCACTGAGGAAATCCTGAGGCTGGAGTGTTTCCACACTGGCTCAGTGTGGTGCTTTACTAAACCTGACCCTGGTTCAGAGAAAGCAAGGTTGGGGTGGGGGTGCAGTGTTCTGCCAGCAGAGCCTTGACTGCCTCATGCCCTGGGGCTTGTCTCATCAGGCTCATCTATAAGTGCTCCTGTGAAATGGTCTTCAACAAGAAGAGGCACATCCAGCAGCATTTTTACCAGAATGCCAGCAAGGCGCAAGTGGGTGTCTTCAAGTGCCCTGAGTGCCCACTCTTGTTCCCGCAAAAGCCGGAGCTGATGCAACATGTCAAGGTACGATGTGCTGGGGGAGGAGGCTTGGGAGGAGGGTACATCCATCAGGCGGGGGTCTGACTTTGTGCATCTTTCCCCTTGCCTGGTCAGTAATCGCTCTCCCCATCTCCAGAGCACCCACGGTGTTCCTCGAAACGTGGACGAGCTGTCAAGCCTCCAGTCTTCAGTGGACACGTCCTCAAGTCGCCCTGGCTTTCGAGTTCCCACTGAGCCTCCAGCAACTAGTGTGGCTGCTCGGGGCAGCTCTCTGTCCTCTAGTCGCTGGGGCAGGACTGAAGCCCACCGCAGGGCAGAAGCCAGGCCCCGACTGAGGAACACTGGCTGGACCTGCCAGGAGTGCCAGGAATGGGTTCCCGATCGGGAGAGCTACGTGTCCCACATGAAAAAGAGCCATGGACGTGTAAGTACAGCCACCTGCTCACAGTGCTGGGTCCACTGGACTTCTGTCCAGGGGCCAGGGCTCTCTTATGTGGGCGACCCCTTTGGGTTCCTGTTGCTTTGGGCAGAGTGGATACCACAGATGTTAAGATCTTTGGAACATCCTCCTTGCTGCCCACATTATCTGAGAAGAAAGGTGCACTCAGAACTATATTACGGTGCTGATACTTTGTGTCCTGCCACTCCTCCCTTAGACGTTGAAGCGGTACCCATGTCGGCAGTGTGAGCAGTCCTTCCACACCCCTAATAGCCTGCGCAAACACATCCGCAACAACCATGACACAGTAAAGAAGGTCTACACTTGTGGGTGAGTCTCTGGATAGGTGGTGGTGAAGAGCCCAGAAGTTCACCAAGATTCGGTCTATGGCAACTTTGGGACTTTTCTCTGACATGAGATTAGAGGTCTAAGATAAGTGAGGTTCTTCTTGGGGAACATGCTATAGATAGGTCAGAAATCAGTAGAACCTATTTTCTAGAACCTGGTGCCTCCTATGCCCTCCCCCTTTCACTTCTCTAACTGAGCTGCACAAGTAGTGAAGGTGCCATATGATGTAAGAGGAGTCTGGCCATGTTCAGGACATACCCTACTTCCTTCATGCTGACCACTTACCCAGCACTTGGGTCCCTGGGCGTAGAGAGTAAGATCATGGCTTGGGGCCAGGTGTCAAGGGTGCAAATATTCTGACTTGCTGTTGTCTGCCACCTTGGCTGGCATGCTGGGTGGATTTCTCTGGTGAGCCCCTAAAACTACCTAGCTGGCCTGAACACCCTGGCTATCTTTTTGCTCCAGTCTCTCTCTTCCCGCTGGTCTTCTGTGTGAAGTGTCTGGAGGGAGCCTGGAGTGAGAAGTGGCTTCCACTTCTCTCTGCTTGCCTAACTCCCCTGGGCCCTGCAGCCTGTAATCCTATATGACCTCCTCTGACTTTGCATTTGCAGGTATTGTACGGAAGACAGCCCCAGTTTCCCTCGGCCCTCCCTCCTGGAGAGCCACATCAGCCTTATGCATGGTATCAGAAACCCTGATTTGAGCCAGACGTCCAAAGTCAGACCTCCAGGTGGGCCTCCCTCTCAGGTGAGTGTGAGGTCCCTGCTCACAGCAGTTGATGGCTCAGGGAGGCCTAGCGCTTTAGGAGTATTAGGAAGGCAGTGAGGGGCCCATACATCCTTGTGGTTCTGGAGCACCTCTCTAGCTCTATGTGTGACACACCTGGGACTGCAGACAAATGAAAGACAGGGACAAAGACCTGTGAGGCAGCCCACTGGCCTTTTGTTACTGTTGTTTGCAGTCACTGTGACCCCTCCTTGGGTATATGCTGTGCTCTATGGATAGTCGGGTGCTTTTACACACATCATCCTGTTTCTGACTCACAGCAACCTGTGAAGCAGAGGCAGGCAGGGCAGATTTGTTGGGTGAAGATAATGAGGCTTGGCCAAGTCCCCTGCCCCTCCTCCACTATTGTAGGAAAAGCCAGGCCTAGAATTCTGCTATCTTTTTCCCTTGCCCTATGTTCTTATCACCGTTCATGCCCTGTCCCTATTTGTGATGAACTTGTAGAGCAGCCTGTTTTTCCCTCCTCACTGCAGGCTCTTCCTACTTAGTAGGGGCTGCTCCCCAGAGGCAGGAGTGTCTGGAAAGCTCTGAGATCTGCCTGGGAGTTCTAGGTCATTCTCAGAACTTTCTTGGCTATTAGAGAGGGGAGCTGGTTGGCAAAGGCATGGGGAAGTTAGCCCTTTTCGCACATAGTGGGTGGGGTTATCAATTGACATTTTGGCAACATCTACCAATGTGTCAAATGTACATCCTCCCTGCCCCTCAAGATGCCCTTTGATCTACCCATTCTGCTTTTAGGAATTTATCTGTCTGATATCTTTGGCCTTGGGCACAAAGAGATGTGTTCAAGGATATTCACTGCAGCACTGTGCATAGTGACAAAGATGGAACTCAACTCAATGTCTATCTGTGGGGGCTGCTTATTTCAACTCTGGTTCATCCCCACAGTGGGGTAGTGTGCAGCCATTGGGAAGAATGATGCCTCTGTGTATGCCCTCATGGAGACAAACTCCAATATATGTTGAGTGGGAAAAGCAGGATGAGAAAAAGTATGCATGGAATATTATCAGTTTGTAAAAGATAATCGTTCTGATTTTATATACATATATAGAATATCTCTTGGAGAAGCTACAAAATGGCTTTTGCTGGAGAGAGACCTGGCAGGGGGTAGGAGGGATTTAATTTTCTCTCTACCCTTTCCCTGTTTTTGGAATAGTGTGCCATGTGTGTATGTTACATTTAAAAACAAACCAAACCTAAACCAGCGTTTGGGACTGTGGTGACCCTAGCTTGGATGGTGACCCCTGTGAGTCCTTGGGGCTGCACTAGTCATGTCTGGGGGGCTCATGTCTAGGGCTGAGGCTCAGCCTGGCCTCTGCTCACTCTGTGTCCCCTTCCAGGTGAACCATCTGAAAAGACCAGTCAGCAGAACAGGGGATGCTCCAGGCACCACCAATAGTGCGACTGTCTCTTCCTCCAAAAGACACAAGTCCCTTTTTCAGTGTGCAAAATGTAGCTTTGCAACAGACTCAGGGCTCGAGTTTAAGAGCCACATACCTCAGCACCAGACGGACAACTCCACAGCCCAGTGTCTTCTCTGTGGCTTGTGCTACACCTCTGCCAGCTCCCTCAGCCGCCACCTCTTCATTGTCCACAAGATGAGAGACCAGGAGGAGGAAGTAGAGGAGGTGGCAGAGCCGGCAGTAGAGGTGGCAGAGCCAGAAGAAGGCTCCGGGGAGGAGGTGGCCATGGATACCAGGGAGAATGGACTGGAAGAATGTGCTGGCGGGCCTTTGTTGGCTGACCCAGAGGCAAGGAGACCACTGGGTTCGGCCCCAGAGGAGGATGCTGCCCAAGATGCTCAGAGTCAACTACAGGCCTCTCAGAACCAGGACAGCCATGCACCATCCCCTTAGGTGTGACCGGAGGCTTTGTAGTATATGAAGTTGGGATGGTGCCTGGCATCCTTCACCTGCCATTGGACAGTGGGAAATAAAAGGCTCTACCCTGGTGTGAGTGTGGCCAGCTGTGCCCTGGAGCAGTGTCTGCCCTGAGCTACAGGGTGCTGAGTGTTCTTCAGCCCCAGGAAATGGGGGTTGCCAGAACCTAACAGCTCTGAATTAGCTTCTGTTATTTATGGCTTTGTGCTGCCTCTTGGTACCCCCAACTCTTTGTGTCTGCCCTTCCAACCCCAGGCTGCTCATGTGGCCCAACCCCCATGCTGTCAACTTGGCTTGGAACCCCTCAGCTGCCATGCTGTTCTGGGAGGTTCCCTGATTGCTGCCCTGAGCAGGGGACTTGGAGTTCTGTTTGCCCGCAAACACCAGCTCTCTTTCCTGCCATCCGAGCCTGAGAAGAAGGAGGGGATTGCGTCCCACTCAGAGAGCTCTACCTAGCCTGGCCTACAAGGGCCCTTGGTCACCTTGTCCTTCCTTCTTCTCTAATTCTTTTCCCAAAAAACTGTCCTGGAGAATTGTCACACTGGCTCACCATGTCTCTGTGGGTGGGTAAAAGTTTGCAGCACACCTCTGTTTGGAACCCAGGCAGAGTAGGAGGTGTGACAAAGGCAAGTGGGCACCACAAGCCAGACCCTGGCCCCTCCTTCAGAAGGAGCTGGGGATCCTTGTTCTGCTGCTGTTCTGCCTTCCCTGACAAGTGGGATTTGGGGGCACACATACATTGGAATATTTGTATTCTTTCTCCTGTGCCATTAGAGAGGTGGCCATCCCAGGCAGGCCAGCCCCTCCTTCTTTCGGCTACACTCGTGTTGCTCAGACTATATTTCAAATAATAAAAAAAAAATCTTACCATGCAGGTAGGCTCTTGTATTCCTCTTCAGGTTAGCCTGGCCCCACACTGTGCCACCTAAGGGTCTTTCCCAGACTTTCCTCCTTTGTCCTGTCTCTGAGAACCATGCTTTCTGCTGTCCGAGGAAGGGCCTCTGTAGACTCTGGAGCTTGTGATTAGGAAACTAGGAGGCCTGTACTTCCTGCTTCTCTGGAAACAAGAGGAGAGGAGTGGAGGGTCTCAAGACTGGTCAAGAGTCTCCTCCAAGACCTCCCCTGGGCTGTAGCATTGACTCTAGAGCCTGTCTGAGCTCTTTCATCTTTCTTACAAATGGATGTTCAACCCAAAAGAAACCTTTGCTGGTGAGGGCAAAGAAGGGTGGAGGGGAAGGATTCTGTAATGTTGCTATGTTAAAGAGGCCTTGGGACTCCACTGCCTCAGGGAACTTGGGCATGGCAGAATTGGGTCTTGACTCAGCAGGCTGGGATGTCTTTTTGCTGATGCAGGAGTATGGGTCATTGTCCTTGTTGGGACATGGGCACACAGGGCAGGCTTGGGTGGAAGTGTCCTATGACCTAGGCTACCATGGCCTGGCATGGATGGGCCGTGGGGCTGGGCTGGGTAGGAGCTAATGCAGCAGAGGTGATCTTTCAGGGGAAGCATTGTTGAATATCAATTATAAATTATTAAGTCTGATAAATATGCCTGACCTTTCCACAGTGGAAAAAAATACATTTTCTTCCTCTTTCAAATGCCAGATTTTTAGTGGAAATGCTAATGGAAATGGGAAAGGTTAGTGCTTGCCTCAGTTTCAGAGGGGCTCTGGCTTTGTGCCATTTCAGTGATTGCTATACCTGGCAAGGTCACCATCTCCCCCCTCCCTGAGCTGGCAGCAAGGTCAAACTGGGCCTGATTTCAGCTGCCTGCAAAGCCAGAGCTAACCCTGAAAAGGAAGCTTGGCAAGCACATACCCTGACCTGACTTAGCTGTGGGTCCTTCTCTGATTCCAGTTGTGGGAAGCCAGCCCTGTACCCTGGGTCCATTCATAAGAACAGGTTTAGAGGAGGCTAATAGACGCATTGGAAATGGATGGCTGAATCCCTCACTGCTCAGACAGTGGCAGCTGAAGCACAGGGAAAGGAGGTAGTGAATTCTCAGGTTTGACCACCCAGTGCAGTTGTCCTTGCTGGGAACAGCATGGAGTAGAAAGAATGCCAAGCTACTCACCCGGAAACCTGGGTCATGGCCGAAGGCTGTCCTTAACTAGCTCTTAACAAACCCTGTGACCTCAGTGACCCCTTCTAAATAGAGCTAATGATTCCCTCCAACTCACTTCACAGACTTTTGTGAGATAGTGAATGTGGAAACATTATCTAGTTTTTAAAATACTATGTACATGTGAGTGATTCTTGACTTTAGGGCATGGATGATGGAGTGTACCTTGTCTGCATCAGACTTGGAAGCTGATTAGCTGTTAAGAATTGGTCCGTGACACCCAACTATTATTTAGGAACAGTGAGGACAATAGCACTTTGGAGCATTGCAGGTGCGCCCCACACTTTGCTGAATACTTTTCAGTGATTCTTGCATTCAGTTCTCAAAACATTCTCAACAGTTACTGCTCAGAAGAGTTAAATAACTTGCCAGGCCACCTGTAAGTTAAACGGTGCTGAGATCTGAAGTCATGCTTATCTGATCCCAGAGCCCGTGATCTCAGTCACGGCCTGCCTTAACAAGGAGGCTGCTCTGGCTGGCTGCCAGCTTGTCCATCTGCAGCTGTCCAGAAGTCCATTTTCCTACTTTCTGTGTGGTTGTGATGCCCTATTGAGTGCTGGGTTCTCTTTGAAGTGGATCTGTGCCTAATCACCCCAACGAGGGCATGCACCCCATGTTTGCTTGTGACATTCTGAAGCACATATGGTGTCTCACCACCCTTTCATTCTTGTTGGGGTTTACCTTGCCATTTGAAACCCATAATTTTTTGAAGACTATCCCAGAAAAGGCTGCCCACCCTCATAGGGAACATATGGTTCCCTCAGGGTCCAATGCCGTTTGATCTTTTCTTTCTACAGGTGTGTTCTAATGATTGTGTTATCATTTGTTATCATCAGAAAATGCTGGCTGTAACAAGCACTTATCTGCACATTCTGCTGCAGTGAATATTCTACCGATCAAGTTAAACAGATAAGATCCCCACCCTGGTAGGAACTATAAGACGCTCGAAGGCTTGACAAGTGATTAGTATTTATTTCCCAACTACTTTATCTCTGTAAAATGGTACCCCGAATTACTATAAGGTAATTGGTATAGAAAGAACCTTTCCCTTAATTTATGTAAACAGTCTGGTTTTAAAAAACTTAGCACTTGTGGCCCAGTAAGTTCAGCACTGCCTTTCCCAAGAATGAGGAATCTCTGCTTGTTCAGCACCAGCCACAGTTTCTTTTTTCATTTTTTTGCTTTTTAAGATTTAATATATGTACATGGCAAAGTATTCAAACAGTACAACAAACAATGAAAAATTAGACTCCCAATGGAGGTCACCCTCCAGTCCCTCAGTTCCCCCCTCCAGAGCTAATCACTGTTATCTCTATCTTATGTATCCTCTCAGAACAATTCTATGAATTTACATGTTTATAAATATGTATATTTATATATCTACTTTTAATACAAATGGTAGCATTCTATACAGTGTTCTGAAGCTTGCTTTTTTCACTTACATAGCACTCTGGGGATTGTTCCAAATTCATACACTGGGTCAGTCTAATTCTTTAAATGCTTCTAGCTCAGTTTCTCACACATAATAGGGGTTCCAGAATATATGAACGAGTGAATGCATGCATGCATGAATGAGTGAATTGGATTCTGTTCGCAGCTACAAAGTTCTCTCTGGGTCTAAGATAAAAGTCTGATCTGATCAAGTGAGGACCATCTAGATTCTAGAACATGTTCCCCCTGTCTTTTCCAAGGGATTTGGGCTGCTGTTCATCTATCTTCTCCACCAACAGATTCCACAGCAACTTCAGGAAATGGGCACAGTGAACCTTGGACTGCTCTAGAGGAAGGAGCACAGATTATGACTCAGGTTCTTCTTGTTGTTATGTGCTGTCCAGTTGGACCTGACTCATAGCGACCCCTCCTTAGGTTTCCGAGGCGATATCACTACAGAATTATTGTTGTTACGTGGCATCGAGTCGGACCTGACACATAGTGACCCCTCTTTGGGTTTCCGAGGCAGTCTCAATATGGGAGTAGATTGCCCAACCTTCCTTCCGAGGAGCGGCTGGTGGGTTTGAACCACTAGCCTTCTGCTTAGCATTCAAGCGCCTTACTCAACAGAGCTCCTGCTACAGAATTAGATTGTCCAATCTTCTGAGCAGTGGCTGGTGGGTTCCACCAGCTTTCTGGTTAGCAGTCAAGTGCCTTAGGCACTACGCTACCAGAGCTCCTACTCAGGTCCTAAGTATGGAATTAAAAATTTTTTTTTAATGCCTTTTTCTCATTGGAAAATGATGTAACATTTTTAAAAAATCAATAACACACATAAGCTCTTCCCTTTACCATTGCAGTTAGTTTTGCTTTTGCGTATCACTTTCCAATCTTTGTTGAGCACATTCATATCCAAATTTATGGTGTAATTATGTTAATAACTGGTTAACATTGAATATTTCCATATGCCAGACATTATTATTCTCACTTTTCATTCATTCTGTTATTTCAATTCACAATAATCCCATGAGATAAGTACTGCTGTTGTTCTCCTCTTGGAGACAGTGAAAGTGAGGTGGTGAATGGTTGAGTAATTTTCCTAAGGTGACTTAGCTACTTAGGGGCAGAGCAAGGATTCTCACTTACATGTGACTAATGCTATACTATCTGATACCATTCTGTAGCATGCCTTTTTCACTTAGCATTATGCCCTGAATGTTTTTGTTTTTTTTTAATTAGGATTTGGGTGAAGATTTACAGAGTAAATTCACTTTTCATACAGCAGTTCAC